GACAGACAGACAGACAGACAGACGCCAAAGATCAAGAGCGAGTCAGACAAAACAGCTGGAACACGCTTCCAGCATTCCGCCCTTCGCTTGACCATGGTAGCAGACTTCACCATCGAAGAAGATAGTGGCCGCAAAGCCCTAAACCCTAAAACGACGTATGTTGGTGTATCCAAACTGCTGTCACCTCAAAATCCCTTGGACGGGTTGCCCGAAGAGCCGCCCGAAGAGGAGGGTCGGCTCATCTGCCGGATCAGCTGCTCGAGAGCCTCGGACGGGGATGCTACGTTGTGCAGAGCCTCACCCCGAAGCGTATCAATCTCTCGAATACATTCTGGGCCCATAGTGCCCCTAACTTTCATCTGCCGGGTGCCTCAAAGCGCTCGGCTTCCGAAGGCTCCTCCTGCTCCACGGGCCGGCAGATCCAAAGATACCTGCCGGAGCTTCGCGGGTCTCCACTGGAAGGTCCGAGCTTTGAGTGGAAGTCGGCTTGATGCTGGGTGCGTATTGGAGCCAGGTTTCACGTAGGCTGAACCATCAACTAGACGACAGTTTGGGGGGTTGCATTGCACGAGTTTGTGGGCATGCTGGATATCCTAAGCTGCAATCAACCAGGGTTGTGTGGAAAGACTTGGGTTGCGGCTGGATTTAGGGACTACCTGCTGAACGCAGATGACGCATTGTGAGAGGAAGCATATCAGAGATATACTTACGCTGGATGCACATGCAGCGGAACATGACAGTGAGAAAAGCTGCGTGACGAGGTGGTGCTGGGAGGTCTCTTGTCTCTCGACTCGGCGCCTTGGGCTTCCAAGCTGGTGGAGGGGCTTCGTCGCCTGCCTCGCGCAAAACCACCTGGTGAGGGCCCAGCGGTCACAACGTTTTGGGATAGAACACCTGGAGTGACAAGCCGTTATATCAGGTACCACCAAGCAGTGTTACCCCGAATGTCATGGCACCTTCACTAGACATGCTTCTATCTAGTCCTTTCGCCTACTTGCTGTCTTCTAACTCATTGCGGCCATCATGGCAAACGCAACACCTAGGGCTTCCTGGCATCCGTGGGCTTTTCCGACTGCCGCGAACCCACGACGGACACTGCGAAAGGTCACTAGAGCTGGGAGGAATCCGGCTCGAGCAAGGCCGGACCAGACCAGGCCGGGTCCTCTGAACAATAAACCCGCCAGCGCCCCGAACCAATCGCTCTCAACCCTGAAGTCCTGGACCCCCAAATGTGTCTTCGGGCTTCAAGCACGACGTATCGAAGAAGCCCTTCGAACATCGCCGCAAACAGCTGCTCGGGTTTACTGCGTAAAGGTCTACTTCTTTTGGTTCACGGTTCCAGGTTTGCGATATGCGTCTGTGTGATTCTATCGCTCCGACCGTTCAGGGCTTGGGGTAAAAGCCTCGGCACCCAGATGGAAGCGACCCCACGACCGCCACGGCAAAGGGCAAAACTTGTCCGGAGGAGTCAGGGGAACTGGACTGGCAACAAACTCTCTGAAGCCCCAACGCCTGTTTCGAAAGACCTGCAAAGCACACAAAGACGGGGATGCCCGGCAAGAGAGGTCCCCCAACATCGAACCGTGTCAAGCGAGCCAGAGCGGCTGGAGCGAGTAAAGACCTGCTTTGGAGCTTCAGGGCTTTGGCGCTTTGGCCTTCGTCTCCGCGCATACCGTGTGGAATTGCTTGGCAAGTGGTTGCCATTGATTTGGGGCCTTGATGCTGTTGCGGTGGAGTTAGGCTTCCTTGACCTGCTGGGTATGTTTGAGCAAGGGAGGTGCAAAAGGAGACTGCAAGGGCCGAGTTGCTGACAGGCCTCAGGAACAAATACTCTTCTGGGTGGACAAAGCCATACCCGTTGCAGCGTGTATGCAAGAACCCCAGGCCGTTTCAAACTTCGCCTTGCTGTGTTTCTACATCATCTCAAGGGTTAAGCAGACAGGCAAGTAGCAAATCCACCCCGACAGCGCGATCCCTTCCAGGAGGAGGGCGTCGATGCGTCCTGAGTGGAGGACTGTTTCTTTTCGCTCTGAGTATGAAGCTGAAAACCCTGCGTAGGTTATGCTGATAGGTGCCTTGCTTGAAGAGAGGTGTTGTTGCTGTTGTAGCCGTATAGTCGCCATCGTAGTCGCGGTCGTCGTCGTCGTCGTAGCAGTAGTAGCAGTAGTAGCAGTAGCAGTAGTAGTAGTAGTAGTAGTAGTAGTAGTAGAGGCAGAAGTAGTAGTAGTAGTAGTAGTAGTAGTAGTAGTAGCAGTAGCAGTAGTAGTAGTAGTAGTAGTAGTAGTATTTTCGTAGTAGTAGTAGTAGTAGTAGTAGTAGTAGTAGTAGTAGTAGTAGTAGTAGTATGTTCGTAGTAGTAGTAGTATGTTCGTAGTAGTAGTAGTATGTTCGTAGTAGTAGTAGTAGTAGTATTTTCGTAGTAGTAGTAGTAGTAGTAGTCGTCGTAGCAGTAGCAGCAGTAGTCGTAGTAGTAGTAGCAGCAGTAGTAGTAGTAGCAGTAGCAGTAGCAGTAGTAGCAGTAGCAGTGTTCATGGTAGCAATGGTAGTAGTGGTGGTGGTAGTAGTAATAGTAGCAGTAGTAGTCGCCGTCGTAGAAGTAAACAAGAAGTATAGAAGCGGACGCAATAATGGTAGTGGTAGCTGTAGTGGTGGTGGTAGTCGTAGTTGTCGTAGTAGTCGTCGTGGCAGTCGCAGTAGTAGTAGCAGTAGTAGTAGTAGTAGCAGTAGTAGCAGTAGCAGTAGCAGTAGCAGTAGCAGTAGCAGTAGTAGTAGTAGTAGTAGTAGTAGTAGTAGTTCTAATAGTAGTAATAGTAAACAAGAATTAGAGAAGTCGAAGCAGTGGTAGTGGTAGCTGCAGTGGTGGTGGTAGTCGTAGTCGTCGTAGTCGTCATGTCAATCGCAGTCGCAGTCGCAGTAGCAGTAGTAGTAGTAGTAGTAGTAGTAGTAGTAGTGGTAGTAGGTAGTAGCAGTAGTAATAATAGTAGTGGTAGTCATCGTCGTCGTCGTGGTCTTTGTTGCAGTCTTGCTATGGCTGCTGCTCCTGCTGCTTATGCTGCTGCTACATGTATGTTTCGCACGTTTTTGGCAGGTTTGTTGCTTGATCCTCGCACGAGCAGCTTTACCAACATCAGTGTTTGGTGCTCATCATGGCTTCGCGCATTATGAAACTGATTACTGCTGCTTAGGTCTCACCTCTGCAAACGGTAATCACGAACGCGGTGACGATACCGAGAAGAAGAAAAATGAGGAGCACAGCCCCGTCAGACTAGAAACTGGAAATACCTTTATAAGGCACATGCAGAGTTCCACGAGGTGTCGCAGGGCTTTAAAGCCTTTTTGTCTGCCATTTGTGCTTGGAATGTGGGGCGAGGAAGGGGAAGAATTGGGGTAAACCACGTTCCAAGAGGCCGAGAGGAGCGGTGCTGCAAAGGTGCCAGGACTTGCACAGTCTCGCTTCATGGGTAGTCTTAGGTTTCAATCTTCCAGCCGAGGCTCCTTCGATAAAGTCCCAGACGGCCATCCCGCCCATTGCCAGTGTGACGACGACCAGGACGCCTCACTAAGCTGATGAAGGTCCCGCTGGCTCTGGGATGACGCTCTGCTTCTTTTGTGGACTTTGCTGAGAATCCTAGAGCGGACCGCGTTGCCGGGTCTTTTGCGGGACACCTTCGACTTGAGACGGGCGACAGGGGAGAGTGTGGGGGAGAGTGGGGAGTGTGGGGAGCGGGATTTTTCTGTTAGCCGAAACAAAGCAGGACGAGGCTCGTCGTGGACGTAGGCGGGGCCATGCAGGTGTACTGTCATGCGCTCAGGATTGTGTGTGCAAAGCTAGACTCACGGCGTGACGGATTTCGATAAGCCTGAATGAAACCCAATGCGAAGCCAAACTTGAAGCCCTGCCTAGAGCCTTGGTCAGAGGCAACAACTCGGCCCTAATCCATCAGAGCCGACTACTTTGATTGTGGTTTACTGTAACGTGCTTCGGATTGTGTCTGCAAAGCTAGACTCACGGAGTGTATCCGGTGTACACCCGCAGCCCCTCTGCGGCGTGGCACCAATTCGGCCACGGACGGTGATTTCCGAAAACTCCTTGGCTTCCCCGGATTCTGCGGGGCAGGGGTGGGGGTAAAGAGGGTTGAAACAAGCAGGGATGTAGCGAGTGGGATGGTGTCGGTAGCCTGTTACAGCTGGGCATACAGTGGTGCTTCAGGGAGCTTGGGGAGCTTGTTTGGCGAATTTCGGACATCCAGTCCCTGGAACTTGCAAGGGTAGAGGCTTCACTTGTGACTTCTGTTTGTACTCACTTGTGACTTCTCACTTGGTGCGCTTGAAAATCCTGACCTGGCGTCAGTTTGGGACCCTCCCTTCTCCTTCCCTCCATCCTTGTGCCTCCTTCCCTCCCTATATCTTGAACCGGAATCGCCAAACGAGGGGCCGTG